GTGGAAAGGTTGGGAAGAGAAGAAGAAAGAAGTTGAAAAGGAACTTGGTAGACATGACTCTTGACTCAAGCCTTCATGTATAGTTCTATGAAATCCATCAAGTTCCAGACAATCATCTTTCCCAAGGATCACTCCAGGTTCTAGCGTGGGGTAACTAAGTGTAGTCTGACAGGTTGAAATAGGTTTACTTAGAGTTCTTGTACACACACACATACACACACACACACACACACACACACACACACACAAACGCAAAACCCTTGTCATTTAACATAGCAAAAAACATATCAGACATCTAATAAAACATTAAGAAATTAAACATATAGCTAAGCTTTAAAAAAATGACTGACCATGAGTTATGGATTTTTAAATAGTCCCCAAAGAATTAAAGGCAAATCCCTTTCACTGGAGGTATTTAAGATTACTTTCAAAGAAAAGCTAGAGTGAGAGAACACTGGAGTGAAAAATCCCACACTCACAAATGTGAAACAGATGGATTTCAGCTTTGTCTATTTTTAATACATACAATTCCTATTTTTCTGATTCATTGGGAAAAAAGAAGCAATTTGGGAATTTAAACTCTCTTGCCACAAATAAGATAAAAATTAAGTCAACGGTACTTATTATTCCACAGATTTCAAGATGTTACAGCACAGTTTTTGGTTTGGTGGGCCATTACTGGAACTTGAATTCAGGACCTGGGAACTGTCCCTTTTCTCTCCAGACTGGAGCTCCACCACTTGAGCCATCCCTTCATGTCTGGCTTTTTGCTGATTAGTTGGAGCTAAGAGTTTTACATACTTCTCTGCTCTGCTCGGCCTAGAACCATGATCCTCTGGGATATGAGCCATGATCTCTCAACTAAAAGTTGTTTTTATCATTGACATCAACAGACAGTTGTTAGAGAAGTTCTTTAGAAAATGATGCAACATTCCCTGACACCCACTTGAGACTGAGACTGGCAAGACCACAGCTGATTTTAATTCCCAAAATTATTCAGAGAGAAAGAAAGAGAGGGGGAAAGGGGGAGGAGAGGCGATATCTGAAGGAACTAGCTTCTAAACAATGAGAGGTTTAAAATATTAAAGTCAACATTAGAAATCTCACTCCACTCCAGACTGAACAGGGCACAAACTGACCACTGGATGCAGGTGTAATATGCTCCAGATGTTCTATAATATTCCAGATGTTCTATAGTATTCTATGTAAAGGCTTGAAACACTAATATCAGGGCGTAAACAAGACATACACATAGGGGAATGAACATGTCATTCAGCCTAGACTGCCAGCTGAGGAAATCTGGACATGTCTGTAATGTCTTCTTAACCACAGGTAAGCGACATGTATCCTGAATCTACAGAATCCTGGCCCCAAAGCAAATTTACCCACAGCTCCTTGTGTTCCCTGCAAACAGAGGAAATACTGCAAGGATCAATAGACACTATAGCCTTCCATGTGTGAAAAGGAATGTACTTCACTACTGAGTAAGAATTCACAGAACACTATGCAATCAAAGTATACAGCTTGAAGCTGAGCGCTAGCGCTCACCCTGTCATCCTAGTTACTGAGGAGGCTGAGGTTCAAGCACCAAGTTTCAAAACAAGCCCAAGAAGATAAAGCCAAGAGACCTTATCTCCAGTTAAACAACAAAAAGCTGCACATGAAGACATGGCTCAAGTAGTAGAGCACCAGTCTTGAGAGAAAAAGCCAAGAGGGAGCATGAGGTCCTGCGTTCAAGCCCCAGTAATGGCACCAAAAAAACAAAAACTTGCAGAATTAAATCAGTCCACAATCATAAAGAAACATCCTCAAAGTGACTCTTGACCTTGACATATTAAATGCAAAAATCCTACTGGAAATATTAAATCAAACCAGGAGTCCCCATACCAATGGCTAAGAACATTCTCCAAATAAAGTCGTTTTGTTTTAGTCACTGACATATGGGAAAATTTATGTAGTAAAGTATATGCTTATAAAGTTTCAACTTATATTTAGTGGGGGAAACAATTTATTACACTGAAAAAAAAACATAAATGTGTGACAGATGGTAATACTTTTTTCCCCTGCTCTTGGCATGGTATCCTTTTTGGTTGGATGGCCTTTGCTTCTTAGAACTATGAACTTTGCCATTCACACCTATTTTCTGAAATTAAACAGACCAGTTCTGCCATGAAGCCCTCTATAAATTTGGTTACTGTATAATATCTTTACATTTTGTATCATAAATTATCTAGAGTACCACTTTCCTTAGAATAATGAAAAAGACCAAAAACTGGGCAAGAAGGAATTCTGTAATAAGCCCTCTATTTTCAATTCCTTAAATCAATATGGGTAAACTTTCCATATTTAAATTTCGTCTGCTAGGACTTTATAAAGGAAACGAAAAGATTATGGTAGAACTGGATTCTTACATCCTGGGCTCTTTTATTTTATTTTAAATTGTCAAGTCTCACCAGTACCAGTGGCTCACACCTATAATCCTAGCTACCCAGGAGGCTGAGATTTGAAGATCACAGTTCAAAGCCAGCCCAGGCAGAAAAATCAGACTCTTATCTCCAGTTAACTACTTTAAAAATGCCAGAAATGGAGCGATGGTTCAAGTGGTAGAGCGCTAGCCCAGAACAGAAAAGCTCAGAGACAGTGCCTAGACCCTGAATTCAATCCTCAGGACCAGAACAACAACAAAACAACAACAACAACGAGACAATTTTCACCCTTTTAAAATTATCTTTAGTTGCACAAAGGGATTTCCATTCAATTTGTCAGTTTGCAAGCATAATGCATCTATGTCACCTGTCTATCTCTCCTAGCCCCATCCATCCCCCCCTTTCTTTTTGTCAGTCATGAGCCTTGCTGTCCCTGAGCTTTTTTGCTCAAGGCTAGCATTCTACTTCTGATTTTCGCTGAGGGTTTCATGGACTTTCCTGCCTGGGCTGGCTTTGAATCACAATCCTCAGATCTCAGCCTCCTAAGTAGCTAGGATGACATCTGTGAGCCCTGGCACCAGGCTGGGATGAATTTTAACCTTATAATGCTAGGAAACTGTGCATGGTGCAGCCATGGCTGGATTGATGGTTGCTATGGAAACCCTCAGGCAACTCCTCTGTCACCACCAGGCATCAGCCTAATCATGACAAGAAGAGCAGGTGTTTGGATACGAAGCAGGGACTGGCTGTATGTGGAAACTCCTTGGAGTATATAACTAGAAATGTCTTTAAGTCTAAAAAAGGTTTGGTTTTTGTTGTTGTTGTTGTTGTTGTGAAAGACCCTTTGTACAAGTTACGCTTTTCTTTTGTAGCACTACTAGAGAATTCAGGTGGAAGAAAAATATCGTATTCCATTGGCCCAAATTAGGGACAGGAGTTGAAAACAAGTTCCATCATCAAAACTGACCCCCTGAGGCAGGAAGCCTAGGTGAGCCGGCTATGCATCTCTGTGACAAAGCAGGAAAAATCATCAGCTGATAAACAGGAGAGGTGCTCACTTTGGTTTGTAGTATCAGAGGTTTCCCTCCATGGAAAGGTGTGTGTGTTTGTGTGTGTGTTGTGCTGGGCCTCAAGCTCTCCCTAGGCTTTTTTGCTCCAGAGAGGCTCTCTACACTAACTTTACTCACACCTCCACTCTTGTCTGCCCAGACTGACTTCACCAGAATCCTTACATCTCAGCCTCCTGAGTACCTGCGCTGCATTTTATGTCCCTTGAGACAGAAAAACACCACTCATCAACTCTGAGGTTTGTCCCATTGAAATGTATTGTTCTTTTTAAAGATCAGTCCGTCCCTCCCCCCCTCCAGAGAAGGTGTCTTATTTCAACAGGCCTCTCTCATTTCTTTGTTGGTTGGTTGTTTCTGCATATGTGGTGCTGAAGAATGGAACCCAGGGCCTCATGTGTGCTAGGCAAGCCATCTACCACTGAGCCACCTTCCCAGCCCCCTCTCTTTTCTCAGCAGTGGTACTCTATAGGGTAGACAGGCTATACTTGACTGCGTCCTCGGTTCTGATCCTGGCAGAGGTGAGATTTAATACATAGAACCTGGCTGTGAGAATTAACTTATAGAACCAGGAGTGAGCCGGGCGCCATGGCTCTCTCCTGCAATCCCAGCTGGTCAGGAGGCTGAGGTCTGAGGATCGCAGTTCGAAGCCAGCCTGGGAAAACAACTAGGAGAGACTCTGATTTCCAATTAACAACATCCACAGCTTCTACTCTCGGAGCTGTGGCTCCAAGAGGAAGGGGCCCGCCTGGCGGGAGGGCCTGCGGCCATTTGGCTGGGGGTCGGCAGGGGGCTGCGGCATGGGGTGTCCCCAGCGCATAGGGTCTGAGCCTCCTTGCAGTCCCAGGACCGGAGCTGGTGTCCAGCGAGAGGGCGGGGCAGGGCATCCGTGCAATCGCTGTGGCTGCGGCCAAGGCGGGGCACAGGAGGTGCAGGGGTTCAGGGGTATGGGGGTGCAGGGGTCGGTGGGGGTGTATGGGGGCACGGGGATACAGGGGTTCAGGGGTGTAGGGTGCAGGGGTGCGGTGGGGTGTATGGGGGCGCGGGGGTACAGGGGTGCAGGGGTTTGGGGGTGCAGGGGTGCGGTGGGGGTGTATGGGGGCACGAGGGTGGGGGGTCCGGGGGTGCAGGAGGTGCGGGGGTGCGGGAGAGCAGGGGGCGCGGTGGGGTGTATGGGGGCGCGGGGGATGGGGGTGCAGGGGTGCAGGGAGTGCGGGGGTACAGGGGGCGCGGAGGGGCGCGGGGGCCGCAGGGGGCTTAGGGAGTGCAAGGGCGCCTGGAGGGTGCAGGGGGCTTGGCCCGCCCGGGCTCTGGACCAGCCGCTGGGCACCGCCCCCAGCGGTTGAGCCGCGGGCGGGGCGTGCGTCTGGAGGGCGCCGGCGTCAGGGGCGGGGCGCGGTTGCCATGGCAGCGGACGCGCGGCAAGGCCGCCTCCTCCTCCGCCGCCGCCGCCGCCGCCGCCGCCGCCGCCGCCGCCGGGTCCCCAGGCCGCGGCGCCCCAGCCCTGCGCATGGCCCCCAAGAAGGAGAAAGGCGGGGCTATCAGCGAACCCCCGAAGCCCTGGGAGCCCTCGCTCATCGCCGCGCAGTTCAATCAGGTGAGCCGAAGCCGGGGGGCCCCACCCCACCCGCCAACCCCACCCCACCCCACCCCACCGACGGGCCCCACCCCACCCCACCCTACGGACCCACCACACCCCACCTACCGACCCCACCTCACCCGCCAACCCCAACCCCCACCCGCCGACGGACCCCACCCCACCCCACCTGCGGACGGACCCCACCCCACCCCACCGCGCCGAGGGACCCCAGACCTGCCTTGGTCTCGGCTGCCCATGCAGCAGTCCAGAGCCAGGCCCTGGCTGGACAGAGAAGGCCTCAGACCCGGACCCAGAGGAGGAGGCGGAAGAACGGCCGGGCCGGGCCGGGCTGGGCTGGGGGCTGCACCATTCCCAAAGCCCGGCGCGCCCCCTGGGCGGTCCTCTCTTCTGGCACCTTGTGGTCCTATCTATGGCCTCAGAGTAGACCTGATGAGGCCGAGTGCAAAGGGACAGAGCAGAGCCCAGGAGGGCCATGGGGAGGGCGGCCGTCCTACCAAGGACCCGAGGAGGCTCGGCCCAGATGTCCTTCCATCGGTGGGGGCAGTTTTTGTTTATTTTTATTGATTTGCCAGTCCTGAGGCTGGACTCAGGGCTCGGTGCTGCCCCTGAGCTAGTGGTAGGCCGGTGCTCTTCCACTTGAGCCACAGCACCACACCTGGCTTTTCTGCACATGTGGTGCTGAGGAATCGAACCCAGAGCTTCATGCGTGCCAGGCAAGCGCTTTACCACTGAACCACCTCCCCGCCCCATAATTTTTTATTTTTGTGGTTGTGCCAGTAGTGGCAAGTGTTCCCTTGGGTTTGTCGCCATTTGCTTTGTGGGGTGCCAGAACTGGGGCTCATCCACCCTTTTCACTCAAAGTGGGTGCTCAACCACTTGAGCCATAACCCCACCTCAGGCTGTTTTGCTGAGTAATTGGAAATGAGAGTCTTTCAGGTGTATCTTCTCTGCTGGCTTCAGACTGGGCATCCGGCTCCAAGTTTTCATGGGACTTGAAGGTGAGGGAGGTAGGGCCAGGAGCGGCTGGACGGCTGGACGGCTGTGTGGACGTGGGAAGAAAGCCTAGGAGCAAACGAAACAGCCATACACGGCATGCACCAATGACGTGACTAAAACCTAGGAAGAAAGAATTCTTATGTCCAAGGTCATTTTTAATGCAGATTAAGAGTTGGTTACACCCGTGATCAGCTGGCTCTCTGGCCATTGGACTATGGGGTTCATCTTTGTCTGCGGCCAGCCCTGCCACGTGACTCCACATTGTTGAAGATCTGGAAACTGACCAGCTTACCCACACCCACCTTCAGCCAGTGGAGAACAACAGCTCTGAACCACAGCAGGAACTCATGCCTAGACTGTGCTGTTTCTGAGACCAGGCACTGGAGAAGAGAAAGGCTGTTTCTAGAAATTCAAGTCTGCCATAATCAACGGTTTTTAAAAATGGAAAGAGAGTCTGGGCACAGGTGGCACACACCTATAATCTTAGCTCCTCAGGAGGCTGAGATCTGAGGATCGAAGTTCAAAGCCAGCCCAAGCAAGAAGTCCATGAGATTCTTGTCTCCAATGAGCCAGCAACAAGCCAGAAGTGGAGGCATGGCTCAAGTGGAGCACAAGGCCCTGAATTCAAGCCCCAGTACAGGCACAAAAGCAGGAGGGGGGGGGGGGGAGAAGTTTTTTTTTTTTTTCACTTAGGCCTAGAGTTTGTACTTAAAGAAAAAAATGGATCTTAAAGTCTTGTCATTCCTCCTGAGAAATATTAACCTATCTACAGTTTCTTTCCACTGGAGTTGTCTTTTCCTATGAATTGTAATTCTCTGTGATAGAGAAATTGGTCCTGCTGCAGAATGGCATGAGGAATTTGATTCTACTACTAATGGGGCATTGTGGATTTGGGGGTCATTTCTATGACTTTAGAAATGATGCATGTCTAACTCAACAATCCCCAGTTAGTCTCAATTTCTCAAAGATGTTTTTCAAAGTGCTTTTGTGAGTCAGAACCAGTCAGAATAATTTCCCTCCATTCTCATTGAGATTATGGAGGCCAAGTCAGGCTTGGGGTGAACATTCCAGGCTGAATTATATACTGCTGAACAGCCAAGTCTGACACTACATTTGCTTTCGTGTTGCAAGTATGCAGTTATAATTTTCCTAATTGAATGGAAAACCTAAAGGCACTGCTCCCGCCCCCGCAAGACTTGAAAACCTGAAACAAATATTCAGCATTCTTGACCCTACACAAACAATACAGTTTCAATAAATCTTAGGTATGAATAGAAAGAATTTGAACTCAAAGCAATATGTACATTATACCTTGGATAGAATGAAGTCAATCTTCTTTCTGTTCATTGGAATATATGTTTTCTTATTAGAAGAGGAAAACAACTCTCTTCCATTTCTTCCATATTTTTTTTTCTCTCAGTTTGGTTTTGTGTCTGATACAAAAGGAAATTTTTCAGATGAACCCAGCAGTCCAAGGCTCAGGGGCCTAGCCTAACTACCAGTGTAACATACTCTGAGTGGGGGTTAAAAATGACTGTGAATGGGTGAATCCTCTCTCACTCTCTCTCTTTCTTTTTTTTTGGTCAGTCGTGGGCCTGAACTCAGGGCCCGGGCACTCTCCCTGAGCGGTTCAGCTCAAGGCTAGAGCTCTACCACTTGAGCCACGGCTTTTTCTGCTTATGTGGTGCTGAGGAATCGAACACCCAGGGCCTCATGCATGCAAGGCAAGCGCTCTACAACTGAGCCACCTTCCCAGCCAGGGTGAATTCTTTATTAGTAGAGCATTCTGCACATACAGTGTATGAAGGAAGACTATTATTGCTTTCACTCATAATTTCTTTCCATGTAATTGCTGTTTGTGCACAGGTATGTCTATGTTACGTGCACATGTGTGTGATAGGGGTGGGTGACAAGGAAGGAAGTCTCTGGTTTTCCTAAGCCAGTGTTTAGCGTTAACTTCTGTAAGAACCCAACTCAGTAGGAGGGGTTTATTGTTATTGTTTGTCAGTCTTGGGGCTTGACCTCCGGACCTGGGCACTGTCCCTGAGCTTTCTCGCTCAAGGCTGGCACTCTACCACTTTAAGCTGTAGCTCCACTTCTGGTTTTCTGGTGGTTAATTAGAGAGGAGTCTTACAAACTTTCCTTCTGTAGCCAGCTTTGAACCACGATCTTCAGATCTCATCCTCCTGTAGCTAGGATTACAGGGGTTTTTGCTTCAATTTGGCTTTTGGTTGTGTGTGTGTGTGTGTGTGTGTGTGTGTGTGTGTGTGTGTGTGTGTGTGTGTGTGTGTACTGGTGTTTGATCTCAGGGCCTGGGTATCATCCCTTAATTATTTTGTTTGAGGATGGCACTCTACTTGAACCACAGCTCCACTGTCAGCTTTTTGCTGGCTTATTGGAATAAGAGTCTCAAGGACTCTCCTGCCCAGGTTGGCTTTGAACCGTGAACCTTAGATCTCAGCCTCCTGAGTAGCTAGGATCCACTGGTGCTTGGTCCAAGTCAGTAGTAATTTTAAGCTCAGGTTCATTATGGTCTGAATTAGGTTTTAAACTCACATTTGATGAGTTGATCTGTGTCACTGTGGGCTGTCCTTGCAGGCTGGACCATTGTAAGTTTCAGTTGGTTCTAGAAATATAATACCATCTAATAGTCTAGTATCAAGCACTAGAAGACTACATAGAGGGCTGGGAAGGTGGCTCAGTTGTAGAGTGCTTGTCTTGCATGCATGAGGCCCTGAGTTCAATTCCTCACATAAGCAGAAAAAGCCAGAAGTGGTGCTGTGGTTCAGGTGGTAGAGCACTTGCCTTGAGCTGAAGAGCTGAGGGACAGTGCCCAGGCCCAGAGTTCAAGCCCCAAGACTGACCAAAAAAAAAGATTACATAGGGACTAGAAGTTAAGAAGATGAGCTGAAGAATTCTTTGCAAAATCTCATCTTTCACTGGGCTGTAAAAACACAGGTAGAGTTTGTCAGATGAAAAAGGGCAATGATTTTAGGTAAGGACATCAATTTGTGCCTTAAACAAATCTGAATTCTTAAGATTGAAAGAGAGCAAATGTAGATTAGACAATATGGGAAGACTTAACTCCTGTATTCATTCTGTCTATCGAACGATTATTTGCTGTCTTTGCTACCCATATTCCAGAACACTCAGCTTAAACAGTACATGTGAACACTTCAACTTAAATTCTATGAAAAGAGCCGGGCACAGGTGGCTCATGCCTATAATCCTAAGTCAAGAGGCTGAGCTCAGGTGACTGCAGGTCAAAGTTAGCACAGGCAGGAAAGTCTGAGACTCTTAATCTGCAGCTAACCAGCATAAAACCGGAAGTGAAGCTATGGCTCAAATGGTAGAACCTAGCCTTGAGTGGAAAAAGCCAAGTAAGGCACACAACCCTGAATTCAAGCCCAGGAGCAGTGCAAACCAAAAATTACATAAAAAGGAAGTAGATATATTGGCCAAAAGATTATGAAAATGCACTTTGATATAAGGACAGGGATATTCTGTTTATGACTTTGAACAGCATCAGAAGTCTGGCACTTCCTTTTACCCACCATCTTTACTTCGATGAAAGTGTGCACTGTTAAAATTTTTATTTTCTTTGCTTACATTATCTACACAGGGTGATGGGGAGGATTTGATTGCCTGTTCCTCTTTTCCTATAGCAGTGGCTGCCATTTTCTTCTCTGTGATTGCAGTTATCTTCAGCCCGCTATGGTTAGACAATGGGAATGTGCAGAAACAAACAGTTCACACATTTTACAGGACATAATGTTCTGTGGAGTGTTTGGAGCAGCACCCTTCCCATGCCTCCGTGCCCTGCTTCACACCATCCCTCCTGCACATGTCACCTGCATGTGAGTCACTCAGGAGCAATCCTGAATCACAAAGAGGCTCTGTGCTGTGACCTCTCTCGTTTGGTCTCCCAGGGCTCGAATTCTCCACTCTCTATACTATTGTGCTTAACAAGAACCCTAATGCCCAAGAATAATGGTGCTGGA